CGACGAGTTTCTGGTGATTGAGCTAAGCGGAGCCTTTGACTGTGTCTTTGGCATCCCATGGCTTGCTCGCCACCAACCTCACATCGACTGGCTGAAGGGCACAGTCCGCCCACGCGACATCGATGTGAATGCGGTGCTGTCGTTCCTGAACGGCAGGCCCAACCTTGGCCACACGTTGCTGTCGTGGATTCGGAAGCCATGACCACCGTTGCGCCTGAAGTGAGCGATGGCCCTTCATGTGCAGCGTGTGCGCACACAGCTTGTGCCAGTCCTGAACACGCATCTCAGGACGTGCCGGACGCGGTCGAGCAGGGGCTCCCGCGTCCCGACGAGCAGCGGCTCGAGAAGAGAGACGGGGTTAAGCGTGGTCTCCCACGCGTGGTCGAACAGGGGTTCCCCCGTGTGGTCGAGCGGGAGCTCCCCGAAGAAGTGGATACGGTAGAGCATGGGCTCTCACACACGGTCGAGCATGGGCTCCCGCGGGTGATCGAGCGGAAGCTTCCTGATGATGTGGACGACAGACCCGCGTCCTGGCGCCGATGATGTGTTCCGGCGCCCGAGTACAACAGACGTGATCGAGTGTGGTCTCTCACGGTCTGCCTCCCCACGACCAGTTCGTCGCCGCGGCCGTCGTAACCCGCGGCGACCCCGCGTGTCCTCCTCAGACTCGGACTCAACCGACACATAGGTCATCTTGGAGATGAGTCATCGATTTCGCCACGCGTCCACGACGTTGAAGTCGCACGTCCGCCGTGTGACGCCTCTGAGATCGTGCAGCTATCTGGATTGTCGTGGAAACATTTCCTCCGCGACCTGAAACGTGGTGACATTGAGCAAATTTGTCTGATCGTCGCGGAATCTACATCCATCGCGACTGTCGAAGCCGGATCCGCGTCCACCGATCGGTCGCGCCCCAACGGAGCTGAGCCGAAGAGCGCTCGCGAAGCGCGTTATGTCACTCAGTCGTTGCCGGCCCTCGAGGCGTCCGGCAACCCAGTCGCTCCACTAGTCCGCGAGTTTATGGATGTCTTCCCTGACAAGGTCCCAGCTGTTCTCCCGCCGGACCGCAGTGTTCGACATGAGATTGATCTCGTGCCCGGAGCAAAGTATTGTGTGACGCGGCAGCGGCCGCTTCCCCGCGACCAAGTGGAAGCTATTGATGAATTCTTCGAAGGTCGTCGGCAAGCCGGTCACGTACGCGAAAGCTTTCTCCCCACTCCAGTCCCGCCTTCTGTGTCAAGAAAGCGACCGGCGGGTGGAGAATCGTCCAGGCCTTCAACAAGCTCAACGACTTCACCATTCCGGCGCAGACCCCGATTCCGCGCAAGGACATGGTGCTCGACGCCATGTCGGACAGTACCATCTACAGCACCATCGATCTGATGGACGGTTTCTATCAGATCCTGATGCGCGAGAGCGACGTGCCGCTTACTGCAGTGAGCACGCCTAGCGGTATGCTGTGGGAGTGGCTCGTGATGCCGCAGGGGCTGAAGAACGCCACTGCCACCTTCAACCGGATGGTCTCCAACCTATTACGTCCGTATTGCGACTTTGCTCCTAGCTACTTCGATGACATCTTCATTCACAGTCGTGCCGCTGACGACACGACGGACACGGTGGTACATCTACGACACCTGCGCAAGGTGTTC